AAAAAAAAAAAAAAAAAAAAAAAAAGAAGATAGAGACCTGTGCCATACTGACACGGGTGCCCCTCGGGTGGGGTGAGGGAGGGGCTGTTGAGGTGAGTACTGTGGTTGACCTGCTGTCTCAGGGGTGTGCTGGCACCAGGCACAGTGGCAGTGGCAGTTCTTGACTTCAATGATCCCAGCATGTAGCTGAGATAAGCCTGGGTCCCTGTTGAGAAGAGGATGTGGGGGTGGGAGGGGAAGGGTGCTGACAGGGTGGGAGGTGTGGGCAGAGGGCAGTGGATCTGATATGTCGAGAGGCTGCTGGTGAGAACCACCAGTTTTCAGGGAGACCACACAGAGGGTGGCCAGAGATGTGGCTTCTAGTCCCGCCATCTCACTTGCTGTGTGACTTTGGGCAAGTTGCTTTCCCTCTCTGGACCTATTTTTTTGCATTTATAAAGTGAGGCTGTTGGCAAAATCTTTGACTCGTGTTTGTGGAATAATAAAGGATCTTTTCTAATTGCCTTTCCTTTTCATATTTGCTAGGATCTACATGGGTAACTGATACTTTCAAGAAAATCACTGCAAACAGGACAGAGTGGGATATGTTATTAATAATTTCTGGGCTCCTTTGAATCCCCAGCCTGCTGTGATCTTCTGAACTCCGGGTGTAACAGAGTTTATGAGGGAAGGATCTGATCCTTTGGCTGGGTTGGGTGAACCCTGGAGAGGGCTGGGGAAGGGGAATTAGGAGGTAACAAGGATGGGCTGGGAGATTGTGGCCAGCCCCCGGCCTGGCTGAGGGCTGCCCCTTCAGAGTCAGGTTGGGGTAGGAGACAGTTGGGGAGACCAGGAAGAGTCGGGCAGGCAGAGACTTGAATAACTTCTCTAAGTAGAAGACACCCTGTCTTCTTGGTGTTGACAGAGATTGAGCCAGGAGAAAGGCACTTTCTCTGTAGCAGGAGGGATTGAGGTTAGATTTAAGGAATCTGTAAGAAGCCAGAGGCAGCAGCTGTTGACTCCCAGTCCAGTGCCCTTTTCACAGGCCAGGCTGGACTTCACGGGCAGGAGGTCCTATAAGGAGGAAGGGGGTGTCTGGGGGGGGGCTAGATGTAGGAGGAGGACATTCTGGGGGAGAGTTGCTAAGGCGGGACAGCCTGACCTGATGGGTGGTAGAGTCCTTGTTACCAGTGGAAGGGCAGCCGGGAGCAGGACCTGAAGGGATGCTGGCATCCAGCCCCAAGGCTCTGGGTTCACTGAGCTGGTGGGGGCCCTTGGGAAGTAGCTGAGATCTCCCCTTGCTCCTGATGGACAGGCTTGTTTGGTAGAACCTTGAAACCTCATCTATCATTAGAACAGCAGCAGCAGAGAGATGGGTGGCTCAGAGATAGAGTCAGCAGGGGAGACCAGGCTGACAGACAGGAAGATGGCCTTGGGGTGCACAGCGGGGCCGGGGGGACTGAAAGTCTGGTTACATGGAACCAGAGGAGCGACCAATAGACAAACAAGAGGCAGCTAGAGTTGGCATCCTGGCCTGGGAGTCCTGCAGGAGGCCAGGCTCGGTACCAACCACTGGTCACCCTGACAGCTTCCTCCTTTCTCTGAGGAAGGTCTCCCCATCTACAAAATGAGGGCTTGCGCCAGGCTCATGCTTGTGACCCTAACACTTTGGGAGGCTGAGGTGGGAGGATAACTTTAGACCAGGGATTTGAGACCAGCCTGGGAAAAACAGACCCCATTTCTATGAATAATTTGGGTTGGGCGTGGTGGCTCATGCCTGTAATCCCAGCACTTTGGGAGGCCGAGGCAGGTGGATCACCTGAGGTCAGTGGTTTGAGACCAGCCTGGCTAACATGATAAAACCCCATCTCTACTAAAATTACAAAATTAGCCGGGAGTAGTGACACGTGCCTGTAATCTCAGCTACTCAGGAGGCTGAGGCAGCAGAACCGCTGGAACCTGAGAGGTGGAGGTTGCGATGACCTGAGATCGTGCCATTGCACTCCAGCCTGGGCGACAGAGCAAGACTCCGTCCAACAAACAAAATTAAAAATTAGCTGGGAATGGTGGCGCGTGCCTGTAGTGCCAGCTACTCAGAAGGCTGAGGCAGGAGGGTCACTTGAGCTGAGGACCTGGAGGCTACAGTGAGCTGTGATCATGCCACATAGCAAAGGCAGAAGTGAGGTTCCATCATCTTTTTTTAAAAAAAGGAGGGAAGGTTGGACCAGATTGTCTCTAGGTCTCCAATAACCTGAGACTAAAATGTGGACTTATGGTGGTCAGGCAGCCCCTCCCTCACCCCACGCATCTTCTCTAGCTCTCCCCAGACCCACCCTTTAACCCACTCCAGCTGCCACCCCTCCGATCGACAGGTGACTGGCTTCTCCTCATTCAGGTCTTAATCAGCTCAAGGGGACCCTCTTCAGAGAGGCCCACCCCATGGCTCTGTGTAGAGTAGCAACAATCCTAACCCTTTCCTCTGTCTGATTTTCTTAGTCCTTACCACATGATTGATTTTGTAAATGTCTCCCTGAAAAAGACTAGACTTCCTGGACACAGGGCTTGTGTCCCCCCAGCACTCAGCACAGTGCCTGGGACTCAGTAAAAATGTACTGAATGAATGAATGAATGAATGAGTGACTGAGCGAGTGAGTCAGAGGTGGTCACAGACCCCAGACTCTCCCCTCAAGGGACACACACTGAGCTGAGCTCGTCCTCCGTCCCTTCCCTCCACCTCCCTGCTCTTGCTTCCCTTCCCTCCCTCCCTCTTCCCTTCTGCTACCTGGTGGTACCTCCCTGCACTTCCTTTTGCTTCCTCCCTCTCCCCAGGTGAGGGTCCTCAGTGGGTCCTGGCCTGCCAGAGGAAGGGGAGAGGGTATGGTTAGGGGCTTTGTAACTTGGAGGCAGGATTTCAATTTAGGGTCCGGAGCCTTCGCTGGCCCCTCCGAAAGCTGGTCCTGTGACCCTCACAGGTGTGTTGCCTGAGGTGCAAGTTGACACACCGAGGGTGCAGCGGAGAAAGTTTCCTCATGATGGGGCAGCATTTGGGGCTAGGGGTTTTATGGGGTTTGGGGTGGGGTAACCCCGGTGTGGGAATTGTTAATTGGTTGAAGAGTGCATTTGGAAATAAAGAAACTGCATTCTCATGGTGAATCGGTCCCTCTCTGGGGGTCTTTGAATTGGCCCTTCTGCTGCTGGAATTCAGGATCTGAAATATCTTAACTCTTTTTTTTTTTAGCCGGTCTCGCTCTGTTGTTCAGGCCGGAGCGTAGTGGTGTGGCCGTAGCTCACTGCTGCCTCAACCTCCTGGGCTCAAGTGATCCTCCTGCCTCTGCTTCCTGAGTAGCTGGGACTACAGGCATGTATACCACACCTGGCTAATTTTTTAAAATAATTGTAAAAGAGATGAGGTTTTGCCATGTTGCCAAGCTGGTCTCAAACTCCTAGGCTCAGGTAATCCTCCTGGCTTGTCCTTGTAAGGTGCTGGGACTACAGGCATGAGCCACCACATCCAGCCTTTTAAAAAATTGTAATAGAGATGGGATCTTGTTATGTTGTGCAGTCTGGTCTTGAACTCCTGGGCTCAAGCGATCCTCCCACCTCAGCTTCCCAAAGTGCTGGGATTACAGACGTGAGCCACTGCACCTGACCTTAAACAATTTTTAAATAAAACCTGGCCGGGCGCAGTGGCTCACGCCTATAATTCCAGCATTTTGGGAGGCCGAGGCAGGCAGATCATTTG